TAATTTTGTCTGCGTATGACTACGCCATTCAGTACAAAGAAGGAATTCAGGATGCAAATGCTAATGCCCTCAGTAGATTACCATTGCCAGACACCCCAGGTTCAACACCAGTTCCTGAAGAAACAATCTTACTCATGGAACTATTGGAGACTACTCCAATAAGAGCAGAGCAAGTGAAGAACTGGACAAAGAGAACTCCTATACTTGCTAGAGTTTTGAAATTTATTAAACAAGGTTGGCCTAGCAAGTGTCCAGATGGGGAGTTTCAACCATATTTTCAACGACGAGACGAGCTGAGTGTTCAAGACGACTGTATACTTTGGGGAAACAGAGTGGTTGTTCCACCCCAAGGAAGAAGGCAAGTGGTTGACGAATTACATGAAACCCACCCAGGAATATGTAAGATGAAAAGTCTAGCAAGAAGCTACGTGTGGTGGCCGAACATGGATAACGATTTGGAAAACAAAGTACGAACGTGCAACAACTGCCAGATAAATAGAAAGAATCCTCCTGAAGCGCCACTGCACCCGTGGGAATGGCCAAGCCGACCATGGGAAAGAATTCATATTGACTATGCTGGTCCATTCTTGGGAAAATGTTCCTCATCATGGTCGATGCGTACTCAAAATGGCTCGAAGTGCATCCAACGAATGTGGCAACATCGAGAGCAACAATTGAAAAACTTCGATCAACATTTGCAATCCACGGCCTTCCTAAAACAATTGTTAGTGATAACGGTAGTAATTTTTGCAGTGAAGAATTCGAAGAATTTCTGGCGAAAAACGGCATTCACCACAGAAGGACTGCTCCTTATCATCCAGCCTCCAATGGACTTGCAGAACGGGCGATCCAGACGTTTAAGGAAGGATGAAGAAGATGTCAAATAAGGAAAGTTTGGAAACCAGAGTGTCTCGGTTTCTCTTCAAATACCGTATCACGCCACACTCAACCACAGGGATATCGCCAGCGGAAATGCTTATGAGCAGAAAACCAAGATCTCGCTTGGACGTACTACGTCCAGATGTAAGACAAAGAGTACAGGACCAACAGAAGAACCAGAAAGAGTTACACGATCAACATGCAGTGGATCGACTATTACGACCAGGTGATTTAGTATATTCGAGAGAATATGGAAAACAACAAAAGTGGTGTCCAGGAGTGATCAATACACAAACCGGGCCAGTTTCCTATACCATACAGTTGGAAGACGACCGCGAGGTTCATCGCCATCAAGATCAGGTGATCCATAGAGAAACACCCGAAGAAAACGAAAATGACGTCATGAATCCAGATATCAACCAGCAACCCGTTCCAGACCAACAAGTGGTTAGCGAAGAAAATGCAGTTCCAGCAGCCCGATATCCGCAAAGAGATAGACAGACACCGGACTATTATTCGTGAGTAATTACATTAATTTTAGAGTATAAAACACTAAGGGATTATAAACTGTTAGGTTATAGTGTTGACATTATTAGTTTAGATGTTATGTTGCAGGGACTCTGGTTTTAATCCAGGAAAAAGGAGTGTAACATCCGGGAGTTAGCACTTCCGGCGGGAAAAAACAGGCACCTCGAGGAGAACTAGACAGCTGTATTAACAAGGGAGTTTTACTTAGCATAGTTGGGTTTTAAGGTTAAAATACTACAATAATTGTTAAAGAAAATTGAAGCAATCTTGAAAGAATACAAAACCTTGTGGATCATTCAGTGGATGAGATCCTTATGTTGTAACTCATTAGCCATTGATAATAAAACTGTTTTTCTCTTGAGTGTTGTCTTTCTGTTCTCCGTATCATGAATAGACAACTAAGTTGAGACAGCTCACCCTCATAGCCAGATACACCAGATGTCTCACTCGGCAAAAATTGTGCCCGAGATTTCTTATACGCTTGCACGAGTCGCGATATTGTGTCTGCATAGAGATTATAAATAACACTAGAGGGGGCATCGAGGGTGAAATTTAGGAGCGCAATCCCGGATGAACACGTACCATGCACATATTTATTATGTTATTTATAACCTCTATGAGTGAGTGTCAATCCACGCCATGAAACGTGATCATGGCGTGAGCAATGACGCCAAGTTAAATAAGTCACTAATCGAGAAAGTTACTGGATATACCTGAAGAAAAGAAATACACTTTTTGTTGGTTCTGAGTGAAAAAAAAACACCTGAGTAAAAAATGCCTAAAACGCAGAAAATTTTCTAAAATGCTTTAAAAAAGAAGCTAAAGGCAAAAAACAATATTATTTGACTTAAGCATAACACTTTTAAATTAAAAGTTGAGCCTTGTTCTGTTACGAAAAGTGAAAGTAAAGCAAAACAAAAGTGCGCGAAATCGAAAGAGGGGAAGCCCCTAAAACGACGTAACCGAAAATGTCTCAAATGACGGAAATATTGAATCATTTATGAGCATATTTTCGTTATATTTGGGTCAAGCCAAGTATATCAATTGAAGAAAGATGTCGATGAAAGATGATTTCGTTTTTTCTATGTTATACCTTGTGCCGCACGTGGTCTATGCCTACTTGTGTATTGTAACCATCGAACTAAAGAATGTTGATGTCAAAAAATTTTTAATCGACCAAATTCTAGAATTCGTTTTAACAACGATCATTCTCTTTGTTCCGGCTACGTATTTTACGCAGATTCAGGAGAGAGGGCTCACCCAGAGCAAATTTAGTACACAGTTCCATTGGATGCTGTTGTTCACCTTCTCGGGGCTCATTCTCGCCATAGTCGACATTGGAAATGATAGTATCAATGCGCCGAGTTTATTCACCTCTAACGAGTACAGAATTCTAAAGATGATATCGATCTCGTTTCATCCACTACGTCTACTGCTTATAGTGAAGATAGTTGGCCAAACATGTGCTAAGCGAGACTGCCAAGAAGGTCTGTTGCCATATTTCCCGGCGATAGTTGATATCTACGACGGCATTGAGATGCTCGCAATGAAAATGAATCCAACAGACCCGGTATGCGTTCGAGTCACGATTTATTTCGCTGTGATGTTTTACATTCTCTCTTCATTGTTCGAAATATATTATCTCAGATATCCTGCTTTATCAATCTTGTCGGAGCAAGAAATTGGGCTCATTCAGCTCGTTACCAGTTTCGTGTTTCTCATTTTTCGCCTACTTCGCCTAGTATTGTTTGCATCCAACTCACAAGAAATTATTTCGATTATTTTCGCTGTCAAAACTATTATAAAAATGTACTACCTTCACAAAACATTGTCAATTCTACAGGCATAAACACTGATGCAAATATCCAGCACTACAGGATACTTTAAAATGTGCGAGACAACAGTCTTGTTCTTAGCCAATTTAAACTTGCATTACACGTTTTGAGAATTGAGATAAGCAGAAGCTGAAGGAAAGTAAACGGCGAAACAGCTGAGTAGAGAGTAACATGCAGTAACATGTGCGATATAAGCCTTAACGTACACACACGCATCGGAAAGACCTCTAATATAAGGCAAAACAAAACACATTTCAAATCAGAAAATGTTTCTGAATGCTTTGTCCTTGTAAGCCGCTCTGCCGCTGAAAAGTGAAGTAAACATTTCATTTCAGCTTGTGCTTATCTTCTCACTATATAGCTCGTGTAAACTAGAGCTCGAGAGAATTATTGAAATACACATCGAAGGAGGAATTAATATAATACCATGTCACATAACTAAGAAAACTTCAATACTCATATGAACAATAATACTGATGTAAAAACTGCTTTAAAATAAATTTAATTCCCATTAATCTACTACACTGCATGATCATGAACATGTGAGTATATGGTTTTATATCAATTAGTTTCTTTTTATGGTTTGTATATGAGTGGACTCATGCGTTTCATGATATGCAGATCTACACATCTGGATCGACCTGTCATTTATCAATTATTATTTTGCACATGATAATTTTCTAGTTAGTGTGTGTTATTTTTTACAATACCCATGAAAGTGCGTATATTTCGCGAGATAATTGCGCCCATTTCAAAAATTAGGTAAATTTTCCGTTTTGTAGCTCAGACTATGAAACAGGTTTTCAATCAAATTTTGTCCGTCATTCATCTTGCAGGCCACATGCAGTTCCTATACATATGACAATTTAGTAATAATATAATTTTATACGAAGAATTGAATAAACATTAAAACAGCATGAACCATAATTGCTGTCTCTAATTATACAATGTTTCGATAACAGAATTAGTCACGAAAGATACAAGGAGAGTAGGAAAGGAGAGTTCCGGAGAGGTGCAGGAGTGCATATCGCATATTAAGTTAAAAAAATTATGCGGCATATTAAGTAAATATTCAAGCAACTAATACGGTGAGTCGCTATAACATAGGAGTTGGTGTTCACCGTACTTTCGGTAATTTTTGTGAGGATCAACCAGTATACCGCGTATAACGAATCAATAGTTATACATCACTAATTATTGGCGTTAATCCGTTATGCACCTATCAATTGACACCCCG